GGCACAGACTTCTAGGTCTGTTCTCTAATGTTATCACTGGTAGGTTCAAATCTCTCCTGGTTATGACCCAGTGCTTAACAACTGTGCCACCAGGGTTCCTTACATACATATGAATGCAGAAGAGGAGGATGAGAGCTCTCAGCAGGGGAGGGGATGAAGAAGCTAAGGAAGGTTTCACTGAGGAAGAGACATGTGAGTTTGGTTTCAAAGGCTCAGGATTGTGGCAGAAGGTAGATAAGAGGACATGAAAAGTGCCTAGCCTATCTGAGATGACAATCTGTAGTGCAATAAATTATATGATTATCTATGTAAAAGAGACTAGGTGACAAGTGAGACAAGAGCCAGATGATCAAAAGGCTTGAATGCTGTTAAGAAGGAGGCAACAGGAAGGACCCCCTCCCTGAAGAGGTTGTAGCACACATAGGATTATTTACGTATGAGATATCTTAAATACTGAATTGTCAATTCTGCTCTAGAAGATTTCTATTTTAATGTCACCCACATCTGTAAACAGGCTATTTTACATTTAATGATGTCACATATCTATATATGACATCTTTCTTTATAATGTTGGTAAAGACTTTAAATAACCCCATGTACATATGTATGCATGTACTCCTTCAGGTTCAAAGATCATAAACTCTCTGAGTAAGGAATAATAATATCGTGTGTGTGTGTATGTTAAGCCTTAACTTAGTATTCATAGTATGCATTCAAAAATGTTGAGTAATTGGAAACAAATTATTTATTACACAATTTACATGATTCATGATTACTATTCTTATACTTTAGATACTTTCTGCTGTTATCTAAATTGTCAATGAGAATATAAATAAAAATGGACATAGGCAACACAAAACTCTCTCTTTCCTAGACCTGGCCGTACAACACATAGAATGGTATGGATTCATTCTGGGGATCCAAAGTGGGAGGAGATCCAAGTCAGAGTCATTACCAAGAGACTAGACATAGAGAACTCTCACAGCCACAGAATTTTGGGGCAAAGTTCATAAAAGACCTTTTGGTCCTACCTGCAAGTATCATCAACACAAGACAGTATCTTATTTCCCTTCTCACTAGAATGACCTGGGCTACTTATTGAGACTTAAAATAAATAAATAAACAAATTTTTAAAAATCTGGGTTATTGCCTCAGTCTCCAGCTAGCTCCTACTTCCAGTCTTTATACACTGCTCAGCTTGAGCTCTACAAATAAATCCCTGCCAGAGACTCCACCCAGGTTTAAAGGCTTCACTATTGAGGATAGCTGTGGCACACAAAGCCCGAATTTCTCATCAACATTTAAGACTCTTGAACAATTAATGGTGGCTTACATCATCTCTCTTGCCATTTATTTACTCAACAAATATTTACTGACTACCTACTATGTGTCATGCATTATTTTAGGCACGTGGTATCTGTGTAGCCACAAGATTTTCTGACAGGCTACATGTGGGATGTGAGAGAGGAGCTAAAAACATAGTCAAGGTTTTTTGGACTGAGAAAAGGAGATCACACGGTAGGCATTAGTGAGATCTATTACTGGAGCAGGTTTGGGGAGCGGGGAGGAGCCTGGAAGTTCACTGTTTGACGTGCCTGAATATGTTTACAGGTTACAAAAGAGGCCTGGGTCTCCGATGCTGCCACTCTCAAAACAAACCCGCCAGTCCTGCAAAAGCCACATCAATGTCACCTCCTGAAACACCTGCTTCCCTCCCAGGTCTTTAAGTAAAGAACAATATATACACAATGGCTGGACTTCTACTGTTCTGCAAATGCCGACCCATTTCTCTGTTGTTCTGAGAAAGGGACAGCCAGCCTCTCAACACACAGGAGCTCTGCCTATCTCAGAACCAGAGCTCTGTAGAAAATCGTTAAGGAAAATGAAGGCAGCAGTAACAGATCTTGGCAAGCAGCTCAGTAACCAGAGTTTACATTTTTCATGTTAGTAGTTATTTGAAGAAGATAAATCTTCAGAGGGGTTTGTGTTATATAATCATGTTATACGCTAAAAACAAAGAAAGAAACATCTTTTGCCTGTGTTCTAAAGCTATTTTCTCTTACCAAAAAACCCCACCTTCATTATTACTTTTGCTGAGGGAGTACGTAAATTAGAGGGCAAGGAAACCAGTCTTTTTGTTTCATTCCAGTGAGCTTGAGTTTACTCTAATTGAGAAAGGAGGAAAATTGAAAAACAGTGTGAAATTCACGATGCTCTCGCTCAACTGGCTTCTCTGACAGGTGAGAGTGGCTGATCTGTGGAGAGGCTGAGCCAGCCCTTGGAACAGTGAGTTCTCAGCCGCCAGTTCACAAGATGGAGCCTGAGGTTCACAGAAAGGTAGGTTCCATGAGGGCAAGGCTTCTGTGTTCTCTAATGCTTTCTTAGCTCCTCAAAAGGAACCTGGGTCACAGTAAGTGCACAATGAATGAGCAGATTTATAATTCTGAATTACACAGGGCTGAAATACATTACATATAAACACTGAAACAGACACAGTTCTTCAATGTTTTAAAAAATTGCTGATTCTTTGAAAGTCATAAAAGGGCATTACAAATTTGAAATCATCTTTCAATATTAATTACAGAAACAAGATCAAATTACAAGAAGTTAAGAAGATCTTTGGCTCCAAGATATAGTAATACAACAGCTTAAAATACCTTAAAATGGCCTAATGTCAGAGAGACTCCTAAAAAACTAAACTCGCTGAGGGGCCAGCCCCAATCACAACTACGTGGACACCTGCTCCTCGCCCCAGAAGAATTTATTTCAGAGGACAGCACTGAAGCTGCAGCTCAGGGAGAGGGACATGTCTGATCAGAGCACATGGGAGCAAATGAAGGCGAGGAAGAGAGAGTGGAGCACATTCTGGCTCACCAAGTTTTAAGGGCAATATTCCCACTCAGAGCAGTCAATCCACAGAGAAGACCATCTGGCCGGCTCCACTATGAGACACGATATCCCTCCACTGACCCATATCCCTACAGGAGACAACACTGGAGACATAGTGTGGGAATTGCACCTGATCTGATCCCACCATACCGAGGCAAAACACTAAGGGTGTGCAACAGAACAGCAAGGGGAACAGAGCAACAAAGTCTCAAGGGAATACCAAAAAAAGACTTTGGGGCCAGGGTTTGGCACCCCATCAGACTCGACTGGAAAACACTCCTAAAGGCCAACAAACAGTCCTTGAACTAACTACAGGCTTTTTGTTGTTGTTTTTATGTCATTAGCTTTTTGTTGTTGTTTTGTTTTCTTCTTGCTTTGTTTTGCTGTCTTGTTTTTGTGCATGTTATTATCTCCGCAGGTCTGTCTAAATAAGATAGGCTCGATGAACAATCTGGAGGAGAAAACAATGGAACCTACGGTTCCAGCAGGGACATGGGTGATGGGGAGGTAGGGGGAAAGGAAGTGGTGTTAATAAACCCAGGGAAAAGGGAACAACAAGTGATCCAAATCGGCGGTGAAGAGGGTGTAGGAGGCCTGGTAGGGCGTGATCAATGGTAATGTAACCAAGAGGAATTACTGAAACCCAAATGAAGACTGAGCATGATAGTGGGACAAGAGAAAAGTAAAAGGAAATAGAGGAAAGGGCTAGGAAGCAAGGGCATTTATAGAGGTCTAAATAAAGGCATGTACGTATGTAAATATATTTATAAATGAGGATGGGGAAATAGACCTATATGCATATATTTATATGTATTAAGGTACCAGATGGACATTAGGCTCCAATCAAGTATTCCCTCAATGCAAGAATACTTTGCTCTATTTCAACTGGCATTCCATGATGCTCACCTTCCCTACACGATCGCTGAAGACAAAGTGGGTGCATATGCAAATGTGGTGAAGAAAGCTGATGGAGCCCGGCTATCAAAAGAGATAGCATCTGGGGTCTTAAAAGGCTTGAAGGTAAACAAGGGGCCATCTAGCTCAGAAGCAACAAAGCCCACATAGAAGAAGCACACCAGCCTGTGTGATCACGAGGTGTAAAAGGGATCAGGTATCAGGCATCAAAGAACAAAAAATCAAATCATTGTGAATGAGGGGGAGTGCAGATTGGGGACCCAAGACCTATCTGTAGGCAACTGGACATCCCCTTACAGAAGGGTCGCGAGGAGGAGACAGCCAGTCTGTGTGCATTGTCGCAACAATGAAACATACAACTTTCCTCTAGTTCCTAAATGCTTCTCCCCCCACCCAGCCTCCACTATTCTGTCTTACAAATCTGGCTAGACCAGAGGATGTACACTGTTACAGATAGGAACTGGAAACACAGGGAATCCAGGACAGATGATTCCTTCAGGACCAGTGCTGAGAGTGGTGAAACCACGAGGGTGGAGGGAGGGTGGGGTGGAAAGGGGGAACCGATTATAAGGATCTACATATAACCTCCTCCCTGGGGGACAGACAACAAAATAGTGGGTGAAAGGAGACATCAGATAGTCTAAGATATGACAAAATAATAATTTATAAATTATCAAGGGTTCATGAGGGAGGGGGGAGCAGGGAGGGAGGGGGAAAAACTGAGGAGTTGATGTCAAGGGCTTAAGTGGAGAGCAAATGTTTTGAGAATGATGAGGGCAACGAATGTACAAATGTGCTTTACACAATACACAACTGATGTATGTATCGATTGTGATAAGTTGTATGAGCCCCCAATAAAATGACTAAAAACAAACAAACAACTACTAAACTCGCTGCCATTGAGTTGAATACAACTCATAATGACCCTATAGGACAGGGTAGAATTCCCGTGATTTTCTGAGATTACAAATCTTTACAGGAGTCAAAAGCCTCGGCTTTCTCCTGCAGAGCAGCTAGTAGGTTTGAACTGTGACTTGGCAGTTAGCAGCCCAACACACAACCCACTACACCACCAGGGGTCCTACTTGACTTTTAAAACAAACAGCCTTAGAAACTAACTACATCACAGTTTTCGTTCAGTCAACAGGCAATCTCACACATGTCCCCAAAGGAAGCAAGTAAAGTTAAACACCCACCTCTTTAATCGCATGTAGTTTTCACTGGCAGCAGGTCGGCATTCAGCTCTCTGTACCACTATTCCTTCCAATGAAAGTTTATCTTGAATAGATAGCAAAAGAGTAACATATGTATATGGTCAGAGATCATGTTGATCATTTTCGTCAACACATACACTAAACATGATACAACAATCAAAACATAATAACTAGTAACGAGAATTAAGGAAACGAAAGGAGTAACAGTAAGTTTCAGCGGTGGCCTGGTCAGAACAGGGAGAAACCTTATTCTTGGCTGGTAACAAATGGGGCTCCTGTCAGGTTTGTTTACTGGGCTGCCATAATTCCTTTGACAAGAACAGCTTTCAAGTACGTGGCTCTTTCTAAATAAGGTGGCTTAAAAGGCCATAGAATCAATTTTTTTTTTAATCTGGAGGATGTGGAGGCATAGAAATGACACCACCAGTCTAAACAAACAAACAAAAAATGTGTATTTTGTTTTTAATAAAAATGCAAGCAAAATTCTAAACTATAACCTGCCTAGGAAGGACAGCCGCTATCTAGTTTAGAGTATGTGCCACTATAGGCTGCCAGTAGTTCTGACTTTTGTTACTAATAGAATTGCGTATTTTGGAGTCTTAAAACTGGAGCATCAGGTGCTATGAGTATCTGTCCAAATTGGAGTACAATTTCCCCCCATTAGAATTCTTAGAGGGGCTTTAGCAAAAAACTTCTGGATAGCAGGAAAGGTAAACCTAAGCTAGTACTTAGTGTATGCCCACTGGTGTGGGGCAGTCATTTGACAGGGATGAGCTCATTTAATGTATATATGAATGTCTCTTGATGGAACCAGCTTCACTGGGGAGGTATGACTATGGTTAGGAATAGCTAGGTTTTCATCATATTTCTGAGAGAGTTCATGCAGAAGACAGTCAGGAGATCTCATGGCTCATCAACAATGTATTTATGATTCATTTCTTCAGGTGAATAGCCTCTTCATTCCACTAACATTACCTCAATGCCTACTATGCCAGGGTACTGTTTGGGCAGTTCAGAAGGCAAGATAATTAAATGGTACAGGGTGGTCGCTACGAGTCGGGACTGAGCCCATGGCCATGAGCGTGGATTTTGGGTTCACGGTCTTCAAGCAGCACTAGGGGAGAAAGATAAACTGACCAAGTGCATAATGCACATAAAATCACGCTGCATGATTTATACTACAAAGTCCATGGTCCCCTCCCTGCCTAATTTTCTTTTTAATGGTGACCTTCCTTGATTTGATCTCGACTGTGCCGGTGCTCTCAAGTGTTTCTGACTTTAGAGGCACTCCTGTGGCAGAGTGGAAGTGTTCTACACTCTAAGCAAGCTGCTAGATTGCTGGGTCTTTCTCCTATGGAGCAGTTGGCTGGGTTTGACCCTCCAAACTTTTGATCAGTGGTCGAGAACTTACCTTCTGCACCACCAAGGCTCTTTCTCTAACATCTAGGGACTCAATGGACCAATCACAAACTGTGTAGATTCAGCATTTCTGGGTCTCTCCCACAAGAATGGCAACAATACTTTTTTTTCGTTTAAACATTCTATTAGGAGCTCTTACAGATATATATATTTTTTTATTTAGGTATTTTGCTAAAACTGTATTGAACAGGTAATAACAGCAGATTCTGTGTTTATAGCTCTAGATCACCTAGGACACTTTGGATGTCCCCTTTCAAGTACATTCTTTTTTGTTTTTTAATCTTTTAATTGGGGGCTCATACAACTCTTATCACAATCCATGCATACATCAGTTGTGTAAAGTACATTTGTACATTCATTGCCCTCGTCATTCTCAAAACATTTCCTCTCCACTTAAACCCTTGGCATCAGCTCCTCATTTTTCCCCTCCCTCCCTGCTTCCTCCTCTCTCACGAACGCTTGATAATTTATAAATTATTATTGTCCTGTCTTACACTATCCGTTGTCTCCCTTCACCCACTTTTCTTTTGTCCATCCCTTACGGAGGAGGTTATATGTAGATCTTTGTAATCAGTTCCCCCTTTCTACCCCACCGTCCTTCCAGCTCTTACAGATATTATTACAATCCATAGTTCCATGAGATTAAGTCACCATAATGTTCCATGCATTTTCTTTCATCTTGAACTCTGATAACAGCTCCCCTGTATACCCCCGCCATGGACCCTTAATATATATTATTATTATTGCCCTACCTTACACCATCCAATGTATACATTTATCTACAATTCTGTTGTTCGTTCCCCTTGAGTGGGCTTATATACTCATCACTGCTATCAGGTCCCTCATCCCCCTTCCCTCTCCCCGAGACAGGCAGCAAGTCTTAAGCACAGGTTTCAGTAGGTTGAAAATAGCAAAGATGAAGGAAGGCCTATTTTAAACTAAAGTGTACCAGGAAGGTAAGCATGAGAGGGTTATGGCTATTTTACATAAAACGATTTCCCCCCCATTTATGAATTTAATATGATTAAAATGTGAATTTCCTTGAAGCAAAAATAATGCTTCACCACAGGAAGGCAACAGTACCACGTACCAAAATTCTCCAGTCGTCATAGCAAAAGCAAGATTTGGGGCATTTAACGTAAAGTGTCTTGCCTGTCACTTTATCCAGCTGTGGTGGTTTGCATGTTGCTGTGATGCTGGAAGCTAGGTCACTGGCGTTTTCAAATACCAGCAAGGCACCCAAAATGAACAGGTCCCTGCAGAGCTTACAGACTACTAAGAAGGAATGGCTGTCCACTTCTGAGGAATTAAGGTCTGAAAACCCGAGGCTAGCAGTGAAACACGGCCCGAATACTGCGAGAGGAAGTGCCAGAAGATGAGCCCCTCAGCAGAAACGCTGGAGTGACACAGTGGCTGCAGCAAAGGCTCACACATAACAACAATGACAAGGATGGTGCAGGAGGGTCACCATGAGTCTGTCTACCTGTGGATGTGCGTCCATTCATTTAGCACTAAACAAACTAAATTTCATTTTCAGTTAGAAGCCTATGCTATCAACTTCACCACGCATCCGAAACGGCAGAAAGCATCCACAGTGCTGCTCATGTCAACTTGGCTGCCACTCAACATAATTCTCTAATCAGGTCATTTCACAAAGCAATAAAGTCACTTTTCCGTACCACCATTTTCTGCCATCATACCCCCTTTTCAAACCTAAAATAACGTTCAAATGCTTCTTAAGGGAAAGGAAGTCTTAATCATCAGCAATGAATTTTTCCATGAATTGACTGTTCTTAACCTCACCTCTCTGTTCACTCACCTTCTCCCCAATTTACTTACAACACAGCCCTTTAGACATGACTTGCCTGCTCTTTTTCCAAGCCTTCATACTCTATTCCCCTCACAAAAGCACATTCTTGAATTTTCTCCCCTAAACCATACTTCTTTCCTTCTTCAAAACATGAGTGTCATTTTAGACAAATAAGACATTGTCAAAGTCTGGGGAGAGGCACACAATATAAAAGGACCAGGCATTCATTCTGTTTCATGATGTCTACACTCTTGGTCCTTTAAAAGAAGCCACATTTCAAAATCCAAACCAAGTTATGAATTTAATTCTTCAGAGAAAGAGAAAGAGAGCATGCGAGTGAGCGCATGCGGGAGAGTGAGCAGATGCTCAATCAACATCCCAGACGCAGACAAAAGACCTCATTTGTCCTACATGTACACTGGTGATGCAGTGACATTCTTAAAATTTAAGATATGTAAGAAAGCTTATTGATATCACTTTTTAGGCATCCCTAGTTTAATCTAACTAAATGACTACTGGTTCTTTCAAATGGGTCGCGTGCGATTCTATTGTAAGCGGAACATGTTAAGGGTTATAATACAGAGACAAGAGTATTAGGATCACAACGAAGAAGGAACAGAAGAGCCTGTCTAGCTGGGGATCAAGAAGAGCTCTGAAGAGAACGTGAAAGTCGGATTTGAAAATGGTATCTATGCTAGATGGACCTGGAAAAAGGCTAAGATTTCGACAGGGAAGAGAGGAGGCATGCCACGAAAGGTGGTACCAACGGCCTGAGCAATAGCTTTCGTCCATCCCTTCCCTGTCTCTGAAACTGGGATCCTCAGCTACAAGAACCCACTGGAAAGCACAGGGAGCACATGTTCACGGCAGCACTCTGAAGACAGGGAACAGACGCTCATACTACTGAAAGGCTCTCACCTTTCTTCTCTGGATTCTGGGATACACTCTAAGTCCTTTCTAAACTCCCCCTACCTCTTTGGAAAAATTGTATTACAAGGCTGATTTACTTATTGGTTTCTGCTACTTGCTGCCAAAAAATTATAAACACATACCTCCTTTCATGCTATTTATTTATATCCTGTCACCTTGTTCCCTGGGGAACTGACTGAGAGGTTGGTGTGTGACGCCATGAGCAGCTCCGCAGGACGAAGAGCTAGCAACCTGCTTCCATCATGGTGACAGCCTAGAGAGCCCTCGGAGGACTTCTACTCTGCCACACAGTCACTGCGAACCAAGCGCCCCATCCCCATACCTATTTCAAAGAAAAACTTAAAGGGTAAATACACAAAGCACAGTCAACACACACGAAAGGCTTCTGGTTCTGATTCTGTTATTGAAGAACAGTGTTTCTTTGGAAAAATCACCTCACATGTCTGGACTTCAGTATCTTAAAGTTCCTAGAATCTCTGAGGGCCCTTCTCGCTCTCATGTCCCATAATTCTGTTCTTTAATTCACTTACTGTACACACACAGGGAAAACCAGAAGAAAAGAAAGCAAAATTGTCTTTCCCTTCCAACTTCGCATGTTTGATTATTCCATTTGCTCTGATACCTTCTAAAAGATCTAAATAACAAATTTCCTTTGAGTGAAAATTAGAGAAACATTACTTCTTGGAAAATCAGTAACAAAATATTTAGAAGGTACTCAAGATTTGAAAATATACAAGCATCTGCTCCAAGCTGGGCCCCTCAACTTAATTACCTCAACTTAAGATATACTGCATGTTGAAGAATTGAAGCAAAATAACCCACTGGTAGTTTTCAAAAGGCAAGGGAATCCCTCGTTTGAATCAGTTAAAGTAGTAGTCAGGAAGCGTGTTAATAGCATTGGCATG